CTGCTTCTGCCAGCAGCTGTGGCCACGCCGGTCCTACAGGCCCGCATGCCTCCAGGGTGTCCCGGGGACAGGAGGCCAGACATGGAGGTTCCTGGTGTACAGCAATCCTCTGCGCATGCCCATGTGGGCCTGGCAAGAAGTGGTCCCCCTTGGCGAGCCATGCACAACGGGCCACGTGCGCGCTCCTCCTGGCGGCTCCGGAAACTTCAGTAGCTCGTGCGCATCCCTGGTGAAATTACTTTACAGGAGTTAAACAATATATCTGTTTTGTCTGGGCTAATCGAACTGGAATAAAATGATACAGAAAGTATAAACCGCATCTCCCCTTCAGGTACTGTTTTCCAAGGACAAAAGGCATCAAGAACTTGCCCAGGAAGGAGGCAAATGAACCACGCTCCAGGAGACCGTGGCTTCTGGAGCTGAAGCCAGCTAGCGCTCCTCAGCATCCTAACAAAGCAAAGTCACTTAAGGAGGGCCTGCTCCGTGGCAGTCCTGAAGTCCTGAGGAGGGAGAGCCGAGGAATACACGCTTCTCCAGTCACTATTTGCAGGCATGATGCTCTGTATTGGAAATATGAAAAGATTCTTCTCTCTGCCTGGTGCATTCTAATGCTGAGCTGGGGTCTGGTGGGGTGGGAGGGCGGGGAGGCTGGTGGAATTCCATCCCCTGTGCATGTGGGCTGGGTCAGGGCGGAGAGGGGGCGGGCACCGCTGGAGGTAATTGAAAGCTTTCTTTATTGGAGTATCCTCTTACACTGCTTTCTGTCAGGGTAAATCATATCTGTGTGGTCCGCAGTGCCCGTAGGATTCCGAGCAAGCTCCATTTCTGTTGCCATTTTGAAACTCTTTTCTATATGAAGAAAAGCCCCTTAGGGAGAAAGGGAGAAGGGGGTCCTACCTGGGCTTTAGACAGGGAGGGAAAACCCCGAAACAGCATCAGTTGTGTGTTCAAGACCTTGCGCCTGTGAGTGTGCTCCGCCGTCCTGGCCTTTCCCAGGTTTCCTAGCTCTGCACTCGCATGTGAGTCCCTGGGCTCCATGCACCAGCGACAGGCTCTGCTCACAGGAGCTGCCGTGGGCTGTGGCGATCCGTGCAGTGGGTGCACAGGTTGAGTGTCTCCCTCAGCTGGACCCCCACCTGCAGGGGGCTAGGCCTCTTCCTTCCTCTCCAAGGACAGCCCCTGAGGGTGGAATAGCTATGCGCTGGAGGACTCTGCCAATCACAGCTCTCTTTGGAAACACTAAACGTTAACCCGGGACACACTGTGCTGGGACTGGAGCATCCCCAGTAAATCACAGCAACTGCAGAGGATGTCTGCATTTCGGGTTGGGTGCTGGGTCTTAGCGTGCACAGCAGCGAGACGTGGGTGCGTGTGCAGTGTCTATGCATGTGTGCACACACCTTATGTACTTCTGGCTAATGAGGCCACTGTCCTCATTGTGCCTGAGTGCAGTGGGATTGCGAAAGGTTCAAGAACTGAGCCTTTCAGGGCCAGGCAGCAGACCCTGCACCCGCAGCCTTTCTCTGCTGCAGCCTGCAGGTGCTTCCATGCCAACAGTGAGAGATCTGCAGGGACGACTCTGGCCTGGGTTAGAGCCACAGCAGTCACAGCAGCCCTTGCTGGTGACCTGGGGAGACCTGGGACCCTCTATGTTTTGTATCATTGTCTGTAAAATCCTGCTTCTCAGAACCTCTGTGAGCCTGAGCTCAAGGCTGCAGAACACCAGCGTGGTCCAGTTGCTTACTGAGGATTTCAGAAGGTGCCTGTGACATGTGGTCGTGAACCATGCCATTAAGACTGGGTCAGGGGTAGGACAATTTCAGATTCTCCATTCCTTGAATACATGCAAGGAAAGACACAGCTCTGAGCTGGGCCTCGTGCTCAGAGGAGCTCGCTGCCACCTGCTCGCCAATGTGGCCCTCAGCCCACAGCACGAGTCCTGGCTTCTTGCAAACACACCAGCACTCACAGTATCCCCAGTTTTTTGTGCACTCAGGTGTCAGCCTTGCAGAACCTGGGTTGGAAACCAGGGCTGGATGTGGGTCACGGGTCTACTGGTGGCAAAAGCAATAAACCAGGACAGATGCAGACCACCAGTGTGACAGGCAGAGAGGAGTGGGGAGACTTCAGAGACCCTGGGAGGACACGGAGGCTGAGCAGTCTCTGGCGCCACTCTGGAGACTGCCCACAGGCTGAGGGTGGCACAGTGGTTGCCCTGGAGCCCCAGTGGACTCAAGGCCCTCTTCCCCAGGTGAGCAGGAACCTGCAGCATTTAGTAAATGAACAAGCAGCTGACAGGTGACTGGCTGTGGGCATAGAGCACGGCGTGGTCACGCCTGGCCCCAGTTCAGTCTCTACTGACACTCAGAGTGACAGACAAGCTAGCTTTTAGAAGTCACTGAGAAACAAAGGAACATTTTATTAAATGTGAATTTCACATATTGAAGTAAGAAAATGGTAGCAAAAGGTTTCTGGCTAGACATCAACGTATAAGCCAGGAATAATGAATTATATCATGTCCATAGCATGAATAAAAACACTCTGGAGTTTTAACATTATAAAATTAATTTTAAGAAGTAAGCTAGCACAATGGCTTAAAGGGCAAAGTCACTTGAGAAATGTAACTGTAGCCACGATTCTTGGCAAGTTCTCTTGCTTTTCTTTGCTGTAACTTTCACCAGTGGCAGACATTTAAATTCTATGTCCGTACACCACATTGTAGGGTGGTCTCTGTATGGCTGATTAATTCAAAATAAAGTCGCATTTCCAAGAATGGGAGGCTTCTTCCTGTCCTGGAGGAAGCTGATTGCTTCCGGCCCTAAGTGCACGCAAAGTGAGCGGAGGCATACAGCCCTTCGGACAGGGCATGCCTCCGCAGCGTCTTCCCCGGGACTTGAACCTGGCACACAGACATAGCCATTTCCTAATGTTTTAACTAAAGGTGTTATTTTTCTTCCCAGAAATGGGAACTGATAATCTCTCTAAACTCCAAACTTCTAGGATCTTTGAAAAACTAAATGTGGCCTTCAGTTCTTAGGAGACTCTCCAGATTCTAAAGGGCCTTGAAGTCTCCACCCAGCTTCATCTGTCAGTGTCTGGAATAAATCGGTTTCACTGGGCTTTCTGGAGTTGCCAGAGGACTGGGGTTGCAAAGTGACAGATGTGGTGAGAGTCTTGGATCCAAGCCCCTGAGGTGAGAGAGTCTCCTCGGCCCTCTGTAACTTCAGAGGCCGTGAGGTGGCCCAGGGGCGTCTGGGCCCTGCTCCCAGGTCTGTGGTGTGGAAGACTTAGCCAGGCCTGGGCCCTCTCGGCCTTGGTCTCTCATCTCTAAAATGGGAACAAGCAAGTCTGCCCTTGCAGTAAGTATAAATTCTGCTCCTTCGAATTTTATAGCACAGTGTGCATTATCAAATATTTCAGATAATGATTTGCAGGGCCCACAATAAGTAGAGAGGAACAAGAAAATCTTCCATAGCAGATACTTTCTAGAGGAGTTAGGTCAGCTTTGAATGTAAATTTTCTTCAGCTACCCAGAGTTACCTGATCACAGCTTCACTTTTACTTCAGCTTTATGAAGTCTCCCTGACAGTGGCCCTTGCTCTGCCTGACAGTTCTTTGCAACTGCTGGCTTACCTGCATCTCTGGACCCCGAAGCAGTCCCTGAAGAATTAATCCTAATTTCCTTCCGAATTCTCCAACTGTCCAACTGAGAGGAATATAGTTAAGTGCTTAATCTGCTCTCTGACTTTGGAATTTGAAGGAGACTTAACCCTGCCCCTCTCCTCATGGGCCCTCTTCTCGGGGCCATAGTCATCTCTCCCTGTCCCTGGGTCTGGGCACAGAGCATCCCCTGAACAGTGGAAGCGGCCTTCCTCCCAGTGGGGACCCAGTGCTCTTGCCTGCAGCAAGCCTCGCCTTTGTGATGCACCCTGCTGCTGCTCAACACCTTTTCTGCAGCAGGCCCAACACCACAGGAACTCCGATGTGGGATGCCGGTCTCTGTTTTACTGACAAGCGAGCTGATTCATTGTTCTTGAGCATCTCCACTGCTGGCGTTTGGAGTGAGACAGAGCCAGGGCCTTTTCCTGTAAAGTTACAAGCCAAGGCTGAACTATTGCAGCAGTGCTGCCTGCTTTGGGTGCTGCTCAGCATCAGAACCAGGGTGTGCAGAGTTCTCTAGGTTTCCACAGCAGGTGCCCCAGATGAGTTAAGGGTCCCCACAATCCCTCTTCCTGCATCAACACCAGATACAGATGCTCAAAGCCACATTTTTTATTAATTAATTAATTTTATTTATTTATTGGCGGAACTAGGGATTGAACTCAGGCACTTGCGCTTGCCAAGGAAGCGCTTATTTTACTGAGCCATCTCCCGGGCCCCAAAAGCCACGTTTGTGTGCAAAGGGTGCTGGGCTGCTACTTGCCATGGGTCAAGAGTATTGTCTAAGTCAGAACTCCCCTGGGCAGAACATCCAGAAATCCCGGGAGGATTAATTGGCCAGAAGATGCTACCCTGGAGGTCTTATTCCAGGAAGACATGCTGTTCTTAGTTGCCTCACTGGAGACCTGGAATCCTTGGCAGAGCTGATCCAAGGGCCAGGTTCTGGTCTGTTGGTCTGTTCCAGGTGTTACCGGAGCCCAGAAGTCAAGGATCACCAAAGGGCTTTGGTATCTCCTGAGCTTTTTGGTAACCTTGGTGTTGGGCAAACAAAGCCCAGGGGGCCAGGCTAGCCAGAGGGCTGTTGTGCCCCAAGCTCTTCTGCTGGCGCCGGTGAGTGGAGGTGCCCGTGAATGTGCGAGTGGGCGCAGGGAGCTGGCAACGGCTCAGCACTGGGGTCCGCGCCACCTTCCCTCGCAGACCCGCGCCCGGGGCGGGCACCAGAGCCCGCGGGTTCCTGGGCGGGCGCGGGGAGGTGGGGCTGGAGGAGGAGAGGGGAGAGGCGGGAGGAGCCCGGGAGGAGGGAGGATCCGGGAAGCTCGGAGGGTATTTGACAGGAGCGAGGGAAGCGCAGGGACGCGGAGGAGCGCTGGGCGCGGGAGCCGACTAGGGAGGGAGAGGACCGCCAGGAGCCGCTGCACCTCCGCCGCGCGCTCGCAGCCTTCCCGGCCCGGTCCCGGGGCGCAGGGCGCAGGGCGCAGGGCGCAGGGCGCAGGGCCCGGACGCCCCCGCCCCGTCCGCATCCCCGTCCCCGAGAGCCACCATGCTGCTGCCCCGGCTGTGCTGGCTGCCGCTGCTCTCCGCGCTGCTGCCCCCGAGGCCCGCACAGAAGTTTTCGGCGCTCACGGTAAGCCCGGCACCTCGCGGAGCAGGTGGCCCGCGCGCCAGCATGCAGACTGTGGCCAGCTGTGGGGTCCGGGTCCTGTCGCCATGGCAGGAGCTGGGGCACGCAGGGCGTCCTGAGGCCCCCATGGGGTGGCACGGCCCGCGGGACCGGAGAGCGAGAAGCGGGCCCACGGAGCCCTCTGCCCGCACAGGCTGGCGGGGCGCCCGCGGACCCCCTCGAGGGAGCAGCAGCTGGGCAGTGCCTCACCGGGGACACCATCGCCCCCTCCGTTCTTCGAGGTCCTGCGGCAGCCGTGGCACTGCCCTGCCTCCGCTCCTGTGGGCCCGCGGGACGTGCTGTGGCCTCCCGGGACAGCTCTGGCCTGGCCAATGGCAGCAGCGCCCAGCTTGAGAGCTCCTGCGCCCGCTGGGCTCGCGAACCCATAATTAATGCAATCTGCAGAAACGAAAACATTCCACTTAGATGTGTTTTTGAACAAGTGCTTGAGAAAACACCAAGGTAACGAGAATGCGCTGGGAGAAAGGAACTTTCAGTGGCCACGAACTTGTCCAACGAAGGTGTTTATCTGAGCAAAATGGGGCGAAAGAGCTGAGGTCCAGACAGGTCTACTTTTCAACAATATAGTGAATCTTGCTCTGTCTCCCTTTGTTTCTGTCTCTGTCTGTCTGTCTCTTTCCTTTCCTCCCCTCCTCCCTCTCTTCCATTCTTTCTATATTTTCTTGTCTCCTTCCTTCCATCCTTCCTTCCTTCCTTCCTTCCTTCCTTCCTTCCTTCCTTCCTTCCTTCCTTCCCTTCCCTCCTTCCTCCCTCCCTCCCTCTCTCCCTCCCTCCTTTCCTCTCTTTCCCTCCTTCTTCCGTTCCTTCACTCTCCTCCTCCCTCTCTTCCTTTTTCTCTTCTCTTCCCCTTCCCTCTTCTTCCCTTCCCCTTCTCTACCAGCCCCCCCAGCAGTGTAAGGGGGAAGGAGTTAGTGAGTTCCTGGTTCATACCTAAAATTCTTGTGGGGCAGCCCTGGGCCCCTGCCTTGTGTCTTACAAATGACTGGTAGATTAGACTCAGGGGAGCTGAAGGGGGTTGTGGGGCACTCTTTCCTGGTAGACTCTCCCCCACCCCCCGGGGGCCACAAGGGATACTCACCATATGTACTCACGTGTGTGCACGCGCGCGCACGCACACACACACACACACACACACATAGATATAGATACAACACACAGACACATGCACTTACATGTGTATATATACAAGCAAGACTACCCTCACGCATGTACTTCAGGAGCACTGAAGGCAGAAGGGAACTGGGAACCCAGGCCACTGGGCCCAGGAGAGTACCCAGTTTCCTCTCAGAGCTATTGGGGGGGACCTGCAGTGCCACAGGATGCCGTAGCCCAAGAAGCAGACCATGTCCCCTTTCCTCCCCCTCCCCCTGGCCTGGGGGTGAGTGATTACAACAGCTTCATGCTCAGGTGTGCTTGTCTGCATCCCCTTCACTTCTGGACACTGTTTGTTTTGACAGGTTTCTCCCTTTGCCTCCTTAGCTCACCCCAAAGTTTTCCTGGGTGCAGTGACACCACATGTGATGGCCCACGCTGATTGTGGGCCACTCAAGAGGCCCCCCCTCTGCTGGCCTCCCCCACCACATGGCCTGAAATCATAGGTGCACATAAAACGCTGCTTCTTTTACATCCAGGAGAAATGTTGCAGCTCTAAACTATTTCGCACCTCCTCCACAGCCCACCCCTGAGCCCAGAACACCTGGGCCAGTCAGAAATACTCCCCCAGAATGGAGACGTGATAGATTGGTCATTGGGAAATCTGAGAGGTTTGGAATTCTTTTTTTCTGTGGTGCTAATCTCAAATCACCTGTTTTTGGAAAAGCTCTGGATTCCTGAGGACCTCGCCAACCAGCCTCATTTCTGTCAGGTTTATAGCCTCCACTTAATACATCTGAGTAGTGGTAACGGTCCCTGGAAGCCTGGAAGTGTGTGGGAGTCACAGCTCATTGTTTTACTGGCGATGTGGCCTTAGGCAAGTTCCTTCACTCTCCTAATCTTCAGCTTCCTTATCTATTAAGTGGGGATAAAGCAGTAGTACCTATTTAGCATGTTGTGAGGATCAGGTAAGGCACTTAATCTGCAGTTTACATGTTTGTTCTCCAGTCTTTAACTTTTGATGACAGCCCTGCTGTTGATCCATGCACGAGTGTTAAATACTATAATTACCAATTCTGTATCGTGTGCCCCTGGGGGGTGTCAGCTTGGTTGGGAGCACTCCATACCCAGGTAAGTCGTGTGGGAGAGTGCGGGCAATGGGGAGCGCTGTTCTCCACCTCATCCCATATCTTTACTTAGGAACAGGAAACCACACGTGTCTCTTTTGGGGTCTAGAGCTTGCAGCGCACGGGTTTTCAAGACTGCAGATGTCTTCGCTGGGCAAGATGAGTGCACTTGCTAGAGCATGCCTTGGGACGGTCGCCCAGGTCCTTGCAGTTAAGACAGGGAATCTGCCCCGTGTGACAAGCATCGTTTTACCCACTGAAGTCTTTCTTCAGTAATGGTGCCCTGTGGCAGCTCTGATGTGACTTTCCTGATGTCTTCTTGGTGACATTGCATAGCCTCTCGATTCTCTCTCAGACCTTTTTGCTATTTCCAGTCCGTACTTGGTGTTTTTAAATGAATTAAATGTACCCTAATTGGAATCCATGTCTACTTCTTCCTTGGATTCCAAGTCTGGGTCAGTGATGGAGACTGGAATAACTGCTAGTATAAATTGTTATAAATTTATATTATGTGTGGGATAAATTTTGGTTCCATACAATGATATTGTACAGAGAGTAAACGGATGTGATTACAATTCTTCTGCTTTGTCATTGGGTGTAGTTAGCTAAATATTGACAGACCAATCAATGAGTGCACATCTACATTTTTCTTTAGAAACGAAGAAGGGTGATAGGACACCTCATCCGGAAAATTTGGAGTTGGAGCCAATAGATTCACTGCAGCGCTAGTAGGCGGCATTTTGCCCATGCTAAGAATCCCAAAGTGAAGCTGCTGGCCCTCCAACTCTGTGCATTGCTGGTGGGTCCCTGAAGTGCCTATCCAGAGGTCCTCACAGGCACCTCCTCTCTGCGCCAAGAGATGCAAGAGCTGAAGCTCGAGTCTCCATAGGGTGCCCTGGACAGCGACAGTTCCTGGCCTAGAGGCTGCCAAATTCAGCCTTCAGTCCTTATTCTTCCTGCAGGGGGAGTTCCCTGCACTGTGTCACTGGTAGGAACTGCTAGCTCCACCAGCTCTTTGTTGTCCAGGCTGCAGAGGACCTGAGTGAACCAACAGCTCCACAGGGTTCTTTAGGAGATGAGGGGAAACACTTAGCAGCAACGTTCAAGCAGCTACTTCCTGTCTCTTTAGTAGCAAAAAAGAGGCATGTGGTGGGAAGGTAATATCCACCGAGATAGGAATACAGAAGGCTATTTTGTTGCCAGTTGGTCCTTGAGAGGAGGATCTAATATCAAAACCAAAAATGCCCTCCCACTTCGAGTGGCTCTTGGGTGCATCCTGTTCTGATGCTCTTGTCACCCATGGTGGGTGTTTAAGGGGTGACTGTGCTTGCCTGGTTTCCTCCGGAAGTGCCCTGAAGGCGGGCGGCCTCTGGGCAGACTGCACGTGCAGGTGTGATGGCGCGCGCTGCAACGAGGTTTTCAGCTTAGAAACCCCTTTATCCAACGCCTACAAGCCCAGACATTTGGAAAACTGACTTCAATTTTGACTTGAAATCAACATTACAAGTAAAGCTGTAAACAACTTCAAGCCTAGCAAGATTTCGGAGCAGTAAGCATGGATGAATGTAAACACGTGGAGACTGGGAAGGCTCAGAGGAGCTTTCTAAGTAGTTCTGTGTCCCCACAGGCGAGGTGACAGTCTAGACGTTAGTGTAGGGACTGCTGGGGGCCACTGGCAGTGGAACACTGGGTCAAAGGCCCAGCGTGGTATTTTTTATGCTTTTGAATTAAAAGCTGCTTGATCCTCCATGTACAAGATGCAGACCTAGAAGGAAGAATCTCCATTAGGAGTCTGAAGTTAGAGAAGAGCATGAACAGAGTACTTTTCTTTTACGTCCAAATTCAGCTGTAGAAGATAAGAGCTGCCGCAGCGTGTTTCCTAAGCTCTGTGGCAGTGCCGGCTGCACGGCCAGAGCTGTCACCAGTCAGCGCAGCTCAGCAGAGTCTGGGTGTCTCCCGAGTCAATGGAGCAAAAGCCAAAGGGGGAAGAGCCCCAGCTTAGGAAGCCACGTACTCATGCTCTGTTACTCCCTAATTTCGTAAATTACATTGTTCTTCCTAATTTAAGAAGAAAATAGAAAATGAAAATCGCAGACATTCTTAGGGGTCTGAAAATAAAGGAGTGAAGCGTGACGCAAAACACACATGAATAGAACGAGGTGATACAATAACACACACAGTTTCAGAGCTTAAAACAATTAAGATGGAAGCTGTCTGTTATAAAATCTGGCCAAATGTGATTAGAGTTACCAACACAGAGGCTGCCTGAGGATGACTTTCCGTTGATAAATCAGAATTGTGTCTAGATTTTTGCTGTGTGTGACAGAACATGGCAAATTCAAAATCAAGCTGGCATTCTAGAGGAGGCCAAATGTCGGTGTGTCTGTGTACTGTTCCTTATACCTTCAGTAATACCCGTGCTTATTATAATGACTTCTCTTTTGTCTTTTTTCTCTCTTATGTCCCTACCCAAATGACAACGAGCTCCTTCGCTTTTTCTGTTCCCAGTGTACTGACAAAGCCATCACTTTATGACCCCAGCTGAAAGTCTGTGGGAGGCTTCTCAGTTTCAGTCCGCTGCCAGGTTGTCCTGGAGAGGGCTCTGCCCCAGAGCCAGGCAGAAGCCCCTCATCCCCAGCAGTCCTTCTGTGTCACCCCCAGGCAGGGCCAGTCTTCTTGGAGGAGATATAGCTGAACTCCCAGAATCCTGAGGCTTCAGGCCAC